CTTCTATTAGATTAGCCCACCGACTACCCTCCAAGGACTAAGCCTTTCTAATACTCGATTAGGAACTAGGTTCCCGACTTCGTACTTTACTCAGTTGGTCAATTATAATTAGTATAGTTTTACTTGACCCCTATACTATGGTCGCTTCATATACGTGTGTTTTGACCTTACCTACACACGATACCAAAAAGTCCTAAAGGGGTATCAACACAATATTCACTTTAAGGGTAAACTTTCCAAGAAGGATTTTCAACAAATTAGGCCTTCGGAGCACCACAACACAATATTCATACAATAAGATATGCAAATTTTGAAAACTTCCCCTTTAGTCCTAAGTAGCCAACACAACTCAACAACATGACAACTTTTTATATATTCAACACAACAACGAAATCAACATGCAACTTTACATCTCACAACTCAATCATCACTACTCATACTTAGCTCATTAATCAACTTACATCTCAACAATACATATATTCAACACAATATATAGTCAACATACAACTCTGTAAACACACAACTCTCAGCTCATATCTACTTCTTAACTAATGACTCATAACATAATCATCACATACTACTTCATTTTTGCAGTTCATTCATAATTAATCAGTTAACAACTTAAATAAATAAGTATTTAATACTTCATCAACTACATCATATTACTCTTTAGCTATGAGCACTTGATGCTACTCACCTTGTGCCCAGCACCATCCAGGCAAGGAGTCTTTTGCCTCGCCCATGCCCAACGTTATATAGCATGTGCTTAGTGTGGCTAAGACAGAGGTCCTTGAGACCTTGTGACTAGTGTGGTAAACTACCTTGTGCGACCCTATTTCAGGCAAAAAGACTCTGCCTGATTTTTGCCCAGCGTCACCACCTTGTCGCTCGACAAAATCTATACATGGAACTCTAGCTTAGCCACGTTGGGTGCCACTCAACTTTGGGCTCGGCGTCACCAAGTTAGAGAGTTCTTATGGTTCTCACACCTGACACCATTCAAACCACGCTTGATGCTATGCCATCCCGAGACAAGTTTCTCCCCTCACACTTAACACCACCAATCTTGCACTTGGTGTGGTTGAGATAGAGAGCCCCAAGTTAGAACAGTGATTGACGTCATAAAGGCGTGTCCAACACAACATCATAATTTTGTATATGTAGAACCTGATTTTGAGTAATCCAACAAGGTTCTAACACATGCAACATGAAATAACAAGTATATACATCACAATCAACTCAAAAATGCTCTCAAATTCAACATGCAACAAGATTTTGCAAAGAATCAATGATTATAACCAACAATTAAAAAAATTCCTTATTCCAACATGTTTCCCTCTTCAATTTCATCATCATAGCCACACATAAGGAGATTCCACACTACACACATCTCAGAAATGGTTTTCCAATCCCCAATGCATACATCACACATAAACTTCCAACTTCCCATACCTCAGGGTAGCTCGGGGTCCGAGGTAGAAGAAGGAGAAGAGAATTGTCACACTTTGAAGATCCCATAAATTGATTCAAGATTCCTACTGACATGAATCACAAACAACACAACTTAGATAAGGATTAGAAGAAGAAGAAGATAATAAGATTGAGAGAAAAAGAGCTCACAGACTAGAAACATTCTTTCTAGAATCCTCTCTCTAGAAAGTTGAAGAGAATGAGTTTATGAGACTCTATTCAAATAGAAACCTTATATACTTTTTCCTCCGGGGTCGAACTGAATCTTTGCCTAGAGAAACTCCCTTCTCAACACCACCCAAGCTCCTAAGGGATCCTTAGATCCTTGAACCTCTCAACATTGATTAACAACTCACTCAACAATATAAAATGACTAGAAGTAATATAACACTATCACACCTTACAGTGTTACAAAGTATAAAACATAAAGAAAATAATATAGAAAAAAATCTAATGAACAAGCTACATAATTTTTTCTTTAACTAACCAGTCTGCAACATAGTTGCCTTGTCTCAAGGTGTATTGAAAAGAAAGGTCCTAGAAAACTGCCTGAAGGAACATATAACAATAATAATGGTAGCACGAGGATGGTAAACCTCAACTCCATATAGGAAATGAGTTCAAGTGAGATAGGTGATTCAATCTTACAAAGTAGAAACATATAACCTACTTCTTTTGCTATTTTGAATCTATAATAAATCGCATAAAGTTCAACTATGGAATTAGTTGCAAACTTGCAACTGCCTTAATAACCACATAATCAATTATTCTGTGAGTAACGAACCGTGCCACCAAAATCAATTCGAACAAATAAACTGTCATTTGTATAAAGTTTAACAACTTCATCAAAAAGAGATATCCATTAAACAAAAGTAATAGATTTCACTCAATTCAAAATCAGGAAAGCTTTTTAAAATGTTCAAAACAACTTTATTTATAAATAAATATAAAAGCATTATCAATATATATGAAACTAGGTTCCTTATTTTTTTTAGTTGCATTCGATAATTCAAGTAAACCCAATTCTTTTTTTACATTTGCAATAAGATCTAATATTATTTTTTTCCTTCTATTTTTACATTAAAAAATGACATTTCCATATCGGAATACATGTTCTATTCTTTGTTTAATTAATTAAAAAATGAGTTTAAATGTATTTTTTATATTCAAATATTATAATTATGTGATATTGTTTATCAAATTTCAATTGAGTAAATTAAGTCTTCTAAATATAATAATTATATAATTTTAGTTTATTCGTCAATTTATTATTAAAAATTTAACGGAAAGTAGTTTAATAGATGATATAATAAATAATGAAACACAGAAATGACATCGGCATGACCATGCACACTATTTAAATTTATTTAAAGTAATAATATTTATCATTTAATCTCAATAATAATTAGACACTAAAGTGAAACCCTATTTTAACTCATAATTAATTCTTTAAACATCAAACAAACCATAATCTATTTTAATTTCTTTTGAGTCTATTTTACAATCAACTAAAACAAAGATATCAGGATAATTTATATAATATTAATAGTTAAATTATATAATTATTTATATTTCAAAATAAGATATATTTAATAATTAATAAAGTTATCAAATACATTTAAAGTTTATTTGTATTAATATTTTTCCTTTTAACCAAAATTAATTATTATTTTTTAATAATTATGTAAATAAAATTAAATTTGTTTATAACAATAAGTAATAATAATAGCGTGACAATATATAAAATTTCTATCGTGTGATATCTAATAATAAATAATCATATATGATAGTTTATTAATATCTATAATAATTATTTTAAAAATATTTTAGATATTAAATTTTTTTACATAAATAATATATAATAATTAAACTTTTAACATTATTAATTAACTTAAAATAAATAATAATAATATAAATTAATTAAAACACGTCGATAATACATGACTTTTCATAGTATCATTCATTCATATATATATAT